TGTGTCTAAAAGCAGTGCTACTAAGAAACAACTGTGCTCCGCACACAGTTGCAGCAGATGCTCACTGTTGTCAGTCCGTTCAGAGTTAAGCTCATAAGTAACACCTAGCTGAGCTTCTGAAGAGCTCAGACGCCCTACTTGTGCGTTCATATCCCCTGCAAGTACTATGATATCTGAACTGGTAGCACTGCGTAGTAGCGCGTTCAGTTCCTGATAAAATATGTCCTTGACAGCATTTGGACTGCAGTCGGTGGGAGCATAAGCGGAAATCACAAACGAACAGCGTTTTGTACTACTTCGTAAATAAACAGCTGATGTCGTCAGATGGGTGGCACATAAACAGCTGTTCACCAAAATCTAATCAATCAACGATGGCTCAGCCTTGGAGCTGGGAATGATACCGACCACAACTTGAGCGGTGAGTGCTGCGTCAGCGTTTCCGGATGCGTGCAACCTATAGCCAGAGGACAAGCTTGCGCAGTTAATTTAACAACCCCGTGAGCGTAACTGACCCAGGTTTCGGACACACAACACACATCAATACCCAGCGTGTCCAACGTGTGCGCGAATGCAGCCTGTTGAAATACTTGTCTCAGAATGCGAAGGTTGAACGCCGCCATGGAAACGAGCATTGTGGCCTTATAAGGGACTGTGGTCGATAGGCGTACGGTGGGCGTTAGGAAAGGTAGCTGCAGATGATACTACTCCAGTGACATTTCGGATGCTGTCAATTAAGCTGGGATATATAGAAGGAAGATTAGTAATGAGGGTCGGGATCGGAAGAAGAGAAACAGGTGGAAAAGAAAGAGGGGAGGCGCCGGCAGTAGCCTGTTTTCGCTTATCCGCCCTGCTGTATGCAGCAGATAAGAGGACCGTTGATAAGCTACGTGACGGCCGATGCAGGATGTAGTTAGAGTTTGGGGAAATTGTCCTGGTTGTAGGTGAGCTGAGATACTACCAGAACACTCAGACCAAGACAAGAGGACGATTAGGGTCCTCAACCAAAGTCTTTGCCTCAGAAGCCTGTCCGGAAGGCAGCGGGAAGGTGGCAATGATTTAGTTTTACAGAAATGGAAGCCATTCCAATTCAAACCCCCAAGCTGGAGGACCAGAAGACTGAGTTTGCCTGACCTTTCACCATTGACCAATCTGGTAGGAGTAGCTCTCAAGAGACCCCGGAGACACCACACAGTATAGCTCAATAGGTCAAGGAGGTACGCAAACCGTCGCACCAGGTTAAAATCCAGTCTCGTTGCACCAAAACGCGACGGGTGTACTTGTCAAGATGCACGTAGGCACGATAATAGTTATCCGCAACAAGAAGATGCATAAAATATGAGGAGACGTGAAAACTAAAGCACGAGGATAGAGAAGCAGACGGTAGGAAGCAATATTACGAATTAAAAGGCGTCGTTGAAGTACTGATTACAGGATGGATGAGGGTTTTCTCTTTGTGTCCGCACCAGCCTAACTGAGTCCTCCGGTCAAGTTCATCAGACCTATCCGCTGTACTATTGGCTGGCCACGTAAGAGAGTTGGACGATTTGTGCAATCGAGCGATGATGTTGATGCAAAGTAACCGAATGATCCAGGCACTACTCCGTCAGGTGCAGTGAGATAGTGACCTCTGAAACTAGGTAACATTAAAAGGCACGAAGTTCCTTGAGTGATTTCTCATATAAGATTACAAATGTACTAGTTGGCATTTCAGAAGAGAAAAACACAATCGCTGATAGTTGAACCTAAAGCAAAACAGTAACAAATGCGTGGACGATGGTAACATGCGGGCGCCCGCGTCTACTTAGAGACTTGTCTTATTTCTCACTAGTGTTGTGATGAAAGCAGGAGGCGTTTTCTGTGATGCAGCTGTCATTCAACAACAGTGAAAACAGACGCGTGATTACCGTAAAATGGTAAAACGCAACGACCAGGTTGGCGTATTGCCACATTCCGGTTGTCACAGAAGCAAAAGTAGCCGTAGGTTAGAAAATCAAGTTCCAGGACCAAAGGACAAGGTCATATTGTGCAGAAGTATTGGGAAACAGCAGTAAGAGTAACAAACGGTGAACACGATGACCGCGCATAAGAAGATAAACAGTGACTTCAGGACACAAACGCTGGCAGAGTAAAGCGCAAAGACTTGAGTCAAAATTCCATGAAGTCGGCGCGAGAACTGGACACGGTTAGTCTGAACAGGTACGTCACCGAAAGAACGTCGCAGCGAAAAAGTGACTGTCAGCGGTCTGTGATTATCTTGAAACAGTAACTTGTTCAAAGTAGGTGACCGCGCAACGCAGTTATTCGTATCACAGATGACAGGTACAGATAACGTATCAAACGGATGGATGACCTTTGGTCATCAGGAAAGAAATCATTATTTGAGTAAATTTCGCGTGAAAAACCATCAAAACGTCAACGGAAGAAGGTCAGCTTGAGTCGGCTGTAAAGTTGAATCGGCTGCATGCTCACGCTAAATCACATGAAATAAACCCAGAAGAAGATAAAAAGGGCAGGACAGGAAAGCACAAGGACAAATAATTTAGGTGCGCTTGAATTATGAAATGGAAACGGATCTGTAACAAAGTCATGAAAGCAATGGTAATTTTGTAGTTTCTGTTAGCTTCCAGCAAAAAAATACAAACATTTCAACATCGTATTCTCATGTGTTACTCAATCGGTGTTCAAGAGAGCAGCATTCTAGTGGAAATTCAACGTTCGTAGTTGTCCTAGTAGTCTGAACTACTGGAATTCAGTTTGCCGGACTGAGTTACAGTAGTGTCACGCAATGGCTTCGTTAATGGACAGTTTTCCTGTATTTTGGTCATTAACGCCATGCTCAAGCACTGCTTACACGTTATGTGCGCCACTGCATAGGTTATCATCACCAAAACCACCAGGTGAGATTAATCAAAGTAAGAGAAGCGGCTGTCGATACCAGTGGAAATACACCAGCACTCAGCACTAAAGCGCTGAGGTCAGTAGAGGCGAAAGGTCAAAACAGTATCAACAAATGTAAAACTGCGTGAGCACTAGTGGTATAAACTGGTCCTAGGGCAAGATGTTTCCCCGAAGGCATGGGTTGCTTACCGACACAGCACTACGGTAAAAGACATATCAATAAGCTGGTTGCGTCGACAGGATCGTCTCTAATGAGGCATGGGGTTGAATTCCTGTCACGGTGTAGTCATTTTTCAACCGGGTTTTCCTCTAGATTTGAAAGGCACGACCAGGTCGTTGAAAAAAATCGATCCCAGTAAAAATGTGAGATGGGTAAAACGGGCATCAGTTTCACAATCAGTGTTTAGTGGATAAATAGGAGGTATCCACGGGTACATGATATAATCGGCTGGCTTGCCGAACAACCTCATCGTGGTGCCAGCTGGGTGGTTCGGATTTATCCCGTTCCAGCAAATAGTTCAGCGGCAGTGTTCCAGGACGGGGTGGGTTTTTTGCCTGGCAAGTGTTCTCCCCATAAAAAGCCACATACGTCCGTTTAACAACATTGCGACGTGGAGGATGTAACTCGCCACTAAATAAAGTCACTGCCCCTTGCTTCACTCCGACGGAGCATTGTATCCAGCAAAGCGAAGCTTGAATTGCGGGGAGCTTTGGGCCTCTGTTTATCAACCGACCAAAGGTAAGGCGTATAAACTGAGCAATCAGTCACCGGCTCCCAATGGGCGTGATTCTCCGAATTCGCTCCGCTGCCTTACAAGTAGGCTATTTTGCGAAAGGCTCGAAGTGGAGTCCCCCAAGTCAGCACCTTACTGCGGCTTGGGCAACCGGGTAGTATCTCGTCCACTGACGAAACCATGGATGTTTCTGGGTTGCGTTCGGTTTTCTTGTTGTGATTGCTGTATCTTTCATTAATTTCCATGGCTTTTGATGCCTCTTTGTTTATGCGTAGACTGATGCAAGTATACATGACACAACCTACAGCGAGCTGGGATCAGATGTCCATCATGAATCTTCCGGAATGCATTCAACAAAGGCATATTTGAGATATCATGTGGTGTACGAAATAAACAGAGTAAATCGAATGGATACGGGCTCAGAAAACGAGGCCGGAATTTTGTGACAAGCTTAAGGAGAAGTTCCCCGAACATTTGGGAAAAGTCGTGACAAGTTCCTGTTCCAAGGATAGAGTAATTAAAGTTAGTTGAATACGTGCAAGCGTCGCAGAGAATGGGTGGTTAGGAAATCTGGAAATGTTACAGTGACTCTTGAATCGAAAACACCATTGGCTGCCAAAGATAAGCAAGGTGCTGGAATTCAGACAGGGATTGAATAGTTGGATGAATTGCGCTCCAATATGTCAGCTGTACGTCGTAACGGCGCTCCGCTGCCGTGCGACTACCAGCAATCGCACGCGGGTTGAATATACCGCGAGGAGGCCCACCCATATGCGGATTTGAACTAGCGCCGCAAGGTTACGAGACAAGCTCGTTACCTCTAGGCTACGGGCATAGAAAGGAAATAGAAGTTTAGATGAACTAGTATACTGGGATCTAGATGGTAACAGTTCACTCAACAAACGCTAAAAACATTAAGCATAAAACAAACAAATCGATAAGACCGTGACCATATGTGCGACCGTATCAAATCTGTGGGTAGATTGGTCACAGTGTGGTCACTGTGAAGTTGGGTCGCAGCAGTCAGTTGACATAATTGGTGGTCAGTAAACGATTTCGGTGACTATTCAGGACAGAAAGAGACTAACAAAATAGCACGACCACGTCGCGACCTCTAAATCCCACAACTTGACGCGAAATCCACATATCTTGGTAGTTACTTGGGAGTGGGCGTCAAATGCAGCATACATTCAGTGAGGCACCATATTGCTCCTTATCGGAAATTTTGATATATCTAATCTGTGGCAGTCAATGGTTGAGAAAACAGTACCAAGTAAGACGGTGTGATGTCTTTTCGGTAAAGGGAACTTGCTGCCTTCGTACAATGTGCCCTCGATCACAAAACCCTAGCATAAATTGCAGACTTACCTAGTAGACTGATCGTCCGATCCGGTTGTCCTTCGACGCAGACAGTGAAGGACTCAAAAACAACACATTTAGGGTTATTCGGGACTGCAATGGAGAGAGCAGATGAACAAAACAATGCAAACGAACACCTACATGGAACATCGGCTTTCAAATCCAATGCACCTAGGAGCGCTTCTTTATATCGTTTCAGGCTTTCGTCCTCTTGGTCAAGCTGCTGCAGCTCTTGCAAGGTTTTCTTTGGAGGGGCCTTGTATTCCACGGAGCTATCCTCAGAATCGACATCCCCGCCGTGATCAGCCATTGGTGCGATAGAAGCAACAGGAAACTAAAGGCTAAAAATGAGAACAACGGTAAGAAAATAGTACATCTGGCGCTAAAGTTACTACGAACCGCGCACGTTTTATACATAGAAAAGCCCTTGAATACGCGTCGAAGTCAGAATTGAAAATTCAACGTAGAAACCATGGGCTAAGGTACTTGAGAGGATTAGCGTTTGTACATCCAAAAGTGTAAACAGAGGCAGAAAATAAGGCAAAAGAGATGCGGCGGAATGAAGCCTGAAGGTAAATAGTAGAACGTTTTTGGGCTGGATACCGATAACGGAAAAAGCATCAACTATGTATATATATATATATATATATATATATATATATATATATATATATATATATATATATATATATATATATATATCTTTGCCGGTTTCCGGTTCCGGATTCGCCTGTCACTGTGGCCTCCACGGAGACAGCCACAGCCACAGCACGCCAGCGCCTACAGAGAGGCCATGGGTACCTTGCGCTGCACCATTCACACACCACATATCCAGTGTAAACCCGAAGGAATAAAACCGAGAGGCATGTGAATGGATGCCACATTTCATCAACGGAGCCGGCCCACCCACTTTCAACTTGCACAGCAGCAGCATTCCTGCCTATCTATGTAGGGAATCACGAATACAAGAGGCACACAAGGAGTCTGCTGGGTCATACTCCGCTCCACATTGGATGGAACCACACTTTGAGCTTAGCACGGCCAAAAGAACCGTGTATCCCCGCACCCCAGCAACGATTCACAGCCTCCTTCAGCCAGTAATTGAAATGGATGGTGTTAGACTGCTAGCCACCTCGTCAACATGCACAACAAGCGCAGACACACCAAGGATATAAAAGAACAACAATACAGCCATTTGAACTGATGCTTCGCTGCATACAACCATGACGCCCTACGGAATAAAAAATAACGGGAGTGAGAGAAGTGGGACCAGGCGTAAAAACTTAATGCCATAAGCAAACATTCAGGGTCAAGGCACCTACACTTTGTGTAGACAACGTACCGTCACAAACAGCTGTCTACAGTTAAAAGATAAGGCGGCATCGGCAAAACAACTTCCTTGCGGCTTCCACTGCCCCGCATCATAATCAGCCAGTACCCCGCAGAAAACTCAGCACCAAACACACTTTAAACAGGTAATCCGACTAGGAGACGGCAGCAGAGGCGCCGCTAGTGTCGGTTGCGAGCCATGTCCTTTAAAGTCTCGAGCCAAGAACAAGACGAGTCACGTGGACTCCGGCCTGTAAGGCGAGACGGACCAACGGCACCCAGTTTGGCTGTCAGTGACATCGCTTCCCTATGCTAAGTCAATTTGGTCCACCTCGAACCTTGCACCAAACTACAACTGGCAGACTAAACAAGGCCCTCCTAGGTAAGCAGTGACCAGGTATACTTAGTATGTGCCCAAACCAATGCAACTTATTGTATGGAACGACCTGCCACAGCACGTAGTTGAGGCAAACTCAGTGTCGGAATTTAAGAATTTCCTTGATAAACACTTTGCAGACGCAAAATATATCGAGCGGAACCCAATAGAACGGGTATTCGTCCAGAAGTGACGACTGATGCAGCTACACAGAGCAAGCTCTACTCGCTGCTTCTAACTAGCATTCAGTGCTTTCTTCTGTTCAAAGGAACTAGCTTGGTTATCACTGCCTAATACTCACCTACACACATCATCGTTGCAGACACCCTGGTGCCACGCGATACTAGCAATGTTCCACAGACAATGATGATCAAAGACTTGAAGGCCCCTCAGATCATCAGACTGAGGAGGCCAAGTCGCACTCCCATACAGTAAGACGGCCCTCACTGTGGCCTTGTAGACAGGACCTTTCAGACGGAGGGAAACTCCCTTCTGTCGGCAAAGATGCCGCAGGTGAAAGTAGGAAGTCCCGGCTTTTGCAGTACATGAACTGATTACAGTATCTATGCGCCCAATGTTGCTGATGCAGCTGCCAAGGTGGGTGAATCGATCAACCACCTCGAGTATAGAGCACGTAAGATGTTCACATATGTTGCTGGAACACATTTCCGCGCAAGTATGTCCAACGGAATGCATCAATCAACCGAATCTAACGCACTCTTGGAATCAAGGAACATAGCTATTGCTGGCCTGCGGTACGTGTGGCGCTATTCTAGCACGTGCCGCTAAGTGAATATATGGTCTATACAGCCCGTCCAGAGCGGAAAGGTGCCTGCTTTTCCCTAATCCGAGATTCCCGTCCCACAGTGAGGCGACGAACGAGAATCGAGGCCAGTAATTTTGTCACAACTGGCGTCAGGCTAATACTCCTGTGGTTGGCAGTTTATGCGACTACCCTTCTTGTACAGTGCCAGAAATAATCGAATCATTCCTGTTACCTGGGACACTTGCTTCCAGCAATGTTTGAACGACGGACGCATATCGACTGAAATAGTCACGTATTGCAAAAGCTAGAAATGCCGTTTTGAATCTGCGATATCGGTTCCGTCAGATGGGAATATCCCCCGCCCGAAAGTTAGTGTATACAAGAGCACAGTGAGGGCCGTCTTGTTCTATGGGTGAGACTTAGGCTCTCCGATCTGAGAACTTGCTGCGGCTAAAAGCCTTTGATCATCATTATCTGCGAAGCACTGCAGATGTCGGATGGTACCAGCGTGTCCGCAACGATGATATGTGTAGGCGAGTACTAAGCAGTGATAACCAGGCTTTGGAGCAGCTGATAGCACTGAATAACTTGCGTTGTTTTGGGCACGTAATGCGTATGCCTGGTCACCGCTTACCGATGAGGCCTTGTGTTGTTTACCAGATGTAGGTTTGCTCAAGGCTCGTGGTGAGCAAACATTGACTTGGCAGTGAGAAATGAATTCACTGACGACCAAACTGGGGGTCGTCAGTCCGTCTCACCTTCTAAACTGGATTTCACGCGACCCACCTAGTGACCAGCTCGAGATTTCACGGAATATGGCTCACAGTCGACATCAATGGCGTGTCTGCTATCATCGCCTTGTCGGACTGTCTGTTTAAAGGATGCTTGGTGTAGAGTTATCTACGGGGTAATGGCTGATTATGGCGCTAGGCAGTGAAAGCTGCAATGAAGCCGTCTCGCGGATGCCGCTTTATCTTTGTACGATAGACAGCTATTTGTGACGGTATATCGTTGAGAAGTTGTAGGCGCCTTGACTGAACGTTTGCTTACGGCATTAAAGTTTTAGGCCCAAGAAGTAGGGGGACAACGGAACTGTATTCGAAAGTGTTCCGCCCAACAAGCTATACGGCGTTCTTTATTGTGTTTCAGTGCACCCGGGCTGTCTCTGATTGTCTCACTGACGCCTGGTTTCCTGGGACCAGTGGTGCGGGTCAGCTGGAAGAGCTTGCGGTAATTGCCTGTTGCTCCTACCTCCTTCACTTCTTGTGCCCGACTGGTCCACCAGGCTTCCTTGTCAACATGTAGGCTCCGCTTTTGTTCATGCCTAATTGCCCATCCCCGCAAGGCAGCTGGGATGTGGCAACGATGTAGTTTTACAGAAATGGACGCCATTCCAATTCAAACCCCTAACCTGGAGAACCAGTGGACTGAGTTTGTCTGACCTCTTACCATTGACCAACCTGGCAGGAGTAGCTCCCAAGGTGCCCGGAGGCACCACCTAGTATAGCTAAATGGTTCAAGGAGGTACGCAAACCGTCGCACCACGTTAAAATCCAGTCTCGTTCCAACGGGTCCCGTCCTGTTGCGGCGGGTCCAGTCTCGTTGCGGGATATGTTTGCCCGGTAATCCGTGCATTAACCTTGTACTCACTGGCAAAACCCTCTCCAATTCCATTGTGTCCCTTACATAAAATGGTGGATAAGCCTTATAGAGTGTTCTAAGTGGGGTCGCACAAAAGCTGAGGACAGCTTCACAAAAATATCGGCTGTTAGGACACCGAAAGAGCGGCGAATAAACCACATCATACGGAACCCCCTACAAGCAGGCTTCCTCCAATTGTCCCCAGAGTGAAGCACTCAGATGTGGACGATAACCTGATCAACAGGGATTTCACTTCCGCCAGCTACATAGCGCGTGGGGGAGTAGCATCTCCAATGCGAAGGACAGCACATTTCGCCTGATTTATAGGCATCAACCATAAGGTTGACCAATTTCAGAGTCTATCCAAGGTACTCTGAATTGTCTCAGAGCCCCCAGGGATATCCACAATATTCCAGAGCTTGAGGTCATCAGCAAACAACAGCGACTGTACTACAAGCTCCTGGGGTAGATCATTGACATAAATTGAGAAAAGCAACGGCCTTAGAACCGAGCACTGCGGAAAGCCACTATGAACAACTTGTCTAAGCGAAAGGCTACGCCCCATGCGTACACACTGTTCTCTCTCCTCTAGAAAAGCAGACCATATTTAAGGGCGCTTCCAGATATCCCATACGGTCTCAACATTAGTGAGAGTCGTTGATGTGGGATAGTATCAAAGGTCTTCGAGAAGTCAACGAAAAGCACGTCAGCGTGACCGCTATCTATGCCTAAACCAAGCTTTTACGAACTACAAATAGATAAATCTGACACGATAATCCCGTGCGGCATCCATGTTGCGCAACACTGAGAAGGTTAAATCTATTTAGGTGGTTTGCCAATGACCAGTTTTCAAACAACTTAACTACTACGTTTGTCAAGCTGACAGGCCGGTCTTTCGCGGGCAGAGCGCTGTCACCGTCCTTAAAAATAGGACAGATGATTGCCTGCTTCCATTTCGAAGGTAAAGCATAGTTGTCGAGCGATATCGTAAACACACATGTGAGAGGGCCACTTTGCTCAGCGACCAATTCATGCATCAGCTCCGGATGAATTGAATAAGGGCTAAAGCTTTGGAAGGATTTAGCCTTTGCGATGGCCCGAAGACTTAAGTCTGGTATGCTGATTTCAATTAGGCAAGAATCCTCTGGGACATTTATGACCAGCTCCACCTGACGTAGAGAGGTCTCACAAGCAAAGA